CTTCCTCTCCTCTCCCCTCCCCTCCGGCTTCTTTCCCTTCCTCTCCTTTCCCTTCTTTCTCCCTCCCTTCCCCTTCTTTCCTGTTTCTTCCCCCCACCCCCACCCCCGCCTTCCTTCCCCTTTCTGAGTCTTGATACCGAGCTCTGAATTCCTTGCGACCACTCTTACTTAGTTTCTATTTCCTCTTGATAGGGAGTGGAAGGACTCAACCTCGGGGACCCAAGAGACATGAATTTCATAGCTTCAGAGACAGGCAGTTGCCCATGCTCTCTCTGTCTCTGGTTGACACTTCCTGTTGTATTCTAGATTTTGTGATCATCCACTGGCTTGTAATTCAGGAAAACACCATGAATAATGTTCTTTCTCAAACCTTTGATTTCAAAAGCAGTTATGTTCTTTCTGCTTGCTTTAGAAACACCTATTTCCTTTCCAGAAAGCCAGGGATTTTCTGTTCTGATGTTCCGAAGCTTTGAGGGCATAAAGACACGTGAATCAGCCGTAAAGCTTAATGCTCTGGAGGGCAGCAGCCAGGTTCAGGGAGTGGCCAGGATAGTGACAGGTGCTAATGATGGGCACAACCACCAGTGTTGTCATCATAAAGTCGTTTAATTGTGAGCACTTAAGGTGTAATAATTACATTTTGCTGCACTGGTGAATACTTTGGTGCATACTTCTCCACAAAGACGGATGGATATGGGTTTGTTTACTCAAACAAAAGGCCTGTTGAGAAACAACTGTGACCTAATTAATAGCTTTGTTTACGTGTTGGCTCTCCAAAGGGATTTACCCAGTTTGGGTTCATTAAGCGCCATTAATGTGTTAGGCTTAGAATTCTGTTGTATAAAGATGTTCTCTCAATTTTAACTTTATTAAACATGGTGTAGGCATAATGACAGCTAATTTAATCTTCCTCATTTGCTCAATTCCCCCAAAACAGTAGAGTGAGACAGACAAATTAGAAATCCTCTTTCTCTTAATGCTCACCGATATACCTACATTAAAGTCTTCCCTGGAGTTTTTAGGATTAGCTGGTTACTTGTGACCTGTTTTCCTTTCCAGTAAGCCGGCTGCCAGTCCCCGCACACCCTCGTCATAACAACACTCTGGATTTTCCCCAGTAGCCCGAGCAAACGACAAAGAAGAGAAGCTAGTTCTGAATTCTTGGGGAATGAATTCTGGGGAACCAAACCAAAGCTGAGACACATGGATTATAGACAATCTCGCATGTTTATAATCTTCATCTTTCTTTCTAAATTTCCATCACTTTTTAGTCATTTCCCCAAAGAAAACGAAACGA